CCGAGGGTTGGGGAGCAACACCGAGGGTTGCGATCCCGTTGCCGGTCCTGTTCCAGTACAGGGGCAACACTGAGGGTTGCGATCCATTGCCGGACACGAAAAAAGACAAAAAGGAAAAAAAAAATGAGTTAGTGAAGAAAATGTACAAACTTCTATGGGCCGGCCCGGTGGTGCACTCGGGAGAGTGCGGTGCTGGGAGTGCAGTGAGGCTCCCGCCGCGGGTTCGCATCCTATATGGGAATGGCTGGTGCGCTCACTGGCTGAGCACAACGCGGGCGACACCACACCAAGGGTTGCGATCCCCTTACCAGTCACGAAAAAGACAAAAAAAAAAAAAAAAAAAAAACAAACTGGGCTTCTGATTTGCGGTAACTTACCTAGCTACTCCAAACTTTGGTTTTCTTTCCAGGAAAACTGGAATAACCCTTTTCTGTATTGTTACAGCAATTAACTAAGATAATATATGTAAAGCACTTAGCAGCATTTGGGACTTTAACAAGTACTTGATAAATAGTAACTATATTTCTATTCTTGTTATTATATGAGTAACATATGCATAGTGCTTTATGATTAAAAAGCACTTTCGTGTATTTCAGATGAGGAAGTCCAATGTGAGGGAGTAAACCACTGGAGCTAAAGTCCAACCCATGTATTTTAATTTAATTGGTCTCCACAATAGTCTCACAATAGAGATGACTCTTCCATGGTCAGATAGCATATAAGTGGTTGAACTGGCACTTACACCTAGCTTTCCCCACTGTAATACCAGATCGCCACTTTTCCACTACATATCCTCTATAAATACTATTAAATCAGATTAAGTACACCTGATTTTCAACAAATAGCCAGAAGAGTGGCCCTTAGGTCACTTTTCACTTTGCAAGGTCACAATTGCATAGTTAAGACAAGAGATACGATTAAATATTGGCTGTTTGCCTGCTCAGAAGATAAATATAAGTATAAATATTGTCAAACCATTTTTCTGTTACATAGGGCGCTACGTGGAATGCACTGTAAAATGACTGCCTGAGTATAACACCTTAACAATTTTAGTCCAGAAGACAAGCTGACTAACGCAAGGGTTAAATCCATTAAATGGCACAGATTAATAAACATTTTAATAAAAATTATCATTTACTGTTGTTTCTTATTTCAAATTAACTACAAAATTTACAATTTTTTTGGTAAAATACACAAAGCAATGTAAGTACTAAAAAAACTGATTTAAAATTAAGCTTGTCTCCACCAGAAAAATATCTTTTTAAAATCCTGAATAAAATGTTCATCCTATAGAAACTTGTAAGCTTCTTAATTTGCTATTTCAGTAAAGTAGAATGTCTCAAATTCCATCAGTTGGAATCTTCCTATTTTATTAAACATACGATATAACATTCCTCAAGACTCAGAATAGTAAAAAAAGGTACAACCACATTTAAAGAGCATACTTCTTTTTCCAGTTCTCACTCTAAACAGCATATAATCTCATGGTAGGCTTGTTTAAAATGTAGGGTTTTACTCTAGAGTTGCTTTTTAACTTTTTGGGTTTTTTTAGAAGCTATACTCCTAACTTCAGGAGAAAGCCCTAGCATTTAATGACTGTGTGATCCAATCAACACAGGTAGTCTACCTGGTATCATTTCATCATCTGTAAGCCGGGGATCAAAGACTAACTTCTCTTTCCTGGATTTAGAATAAATGAATTCTATACATTGCTACATACCAATAATCCAGGGTTTTCTATAACATAATTTCAACAGATAACATTAAAATACATGTAACATTCATTAAGTTGCATGACTTTGCTTAAAGACTAGTAAAACACTATCATTAAAATAATTCCTAGCAAAACAATTTATATTTCCAAGGAACAAAACAAATTTGAAAAAATGATACTTATATCCTATCCTCAGATTTTTATATACATTTAAAGTAGCATTTCTAGTTGAGGAAAACTAATGCAAAATAAAAGTATGTCTGACATTACCTCCTGTCCTGATACTGTCACATATTGTGCAGAAGGATTTTTTAGTATTTTTTGTATTTCTTGCAAATGTGTTTGGATCTTGTCAGTAACTTCTTGAATTTCGCCCTTCCTCCTTTTTATTAAAGGGAAGTCAGAAAGGTCTTTGAATAATTCAGTTTTATCCCCAATTCTAAAAAATAAAAAATGCAAATACATATATTGAAGCATTTTAATTAAACCAGCTATCAATTATTTTTCATAGTGCATGAAAGACCAAAGGCCTGCAAGTCAGAAAAATGTGGTTCTAATTCCAGCTCTGCCACTAAATATTTAAGGATTTAACTTAACTTCTCTGAGGACTGACAAAATTACCCTAATATCATTTTCTTTTTTTTTTTTTGTCTTTTTTCGTGTCCGGCAATGGATCGCAACCCTCAGTGTCGCGCCCGTACCGGAGCGGGACCAGCAACGGGATCGCAACCCTCGGTGTCGCGCCCGCACCTCGCTCAGCCAGTGAGCGGGAACCGGTCTGTATGTGGGATCCGAACCCTCGGTGGGAGCGCGCCGCCACACTCTCAAGCGGCGCACTGTAGCAGTGCGCCACTGGGCCGGCCCGGGATGCCGCATTCTTAACCCACTCTCTTCTTTAAGCCACACTGTCCAATTGAAAGGTTTTATAGATACTTAGTTGTTCAAAGCCTTTTAAAAATTCTATCTCCCTGCTTGTGATGGTGAAACAGTTGGCTTTTTGAACTCTACAATGTCCTTAATTTCTGAACTCTATATCCCCTTTCACTCCTAATTATGAATTGGACAAGTCTAAGTCAGAACAAAGGACACTATGAAAACCCAAGTCAGTGGTTGCAGGATTGGCTGGCAACCCCAGTAACCTGAATGGGAGAGAATTGAGAACAGGGCCCCAAACTTGTTTGTGCACCAGGATCTTCTGGGGAACTCATAAAATCTGCAAATGAGAAGGGGAGCCATTCTAACACCCTAATCATTCTAACACCATTCTAACATCTAATCAGAATCTTTGGGGATGTACGATTGTTTTGAAAGAAACTCAGGTGACTTTGATGCACAAGTAACTTAGGAACCACTTAATGCACCAAATATGTTCATAACACACAGACATACAGGGGAAAGGTGACTTGCACAAGATTGTCTAAAAATTTAGTCACCAAACCAGATCAAGATCTCAAAGGCCAGGTTACAGTGCCCAGCTACCTACTGCAAATATTTGCCTGATTCCTAGCTATGATAGTCTGAACAATGCCTCCCTCCCGGAGATGCTCACAGCTTAATTCAGTCCCTGGAACCTGTAAATATGTTACTTGACATGACAAAAGGAACTTTGCAGATGTGATTAATTTAAGGATCTTGAGTTTGGGAGATTATTCTGGATTATCTAGATGGTCCCAATATAATCATAAACATCTTTATAAGGTGAAGGCCAGAGGGTGAGAGCCAGGGATAAGATGTGACAACAGAGGCGCAGTTGGGGGTAGGGAGAGGAGAGAGAGAGAGAGAGAGAGAGAGAGAGAGGTTTTGAAGATGGATGAAGGGGCCATGAGCTATAGGTTTGAGGTAGCCTCTAGAAGTTGGAAAAAGCAAGAAAATGGATTGTCACCTAGAGCCTCCAGAAGGAATGCAACTCTGCAGACTGATTATAGACATCTGACCTTCAGAATAGTAAGACTCATATATTTGTGCTGTTTTAAGCCATTGTAATTTACTATAAAATACTGTAATTTGTTACAGTAGCAATAAGAAACTAAAAGATTTTTTGGTATCTGGAAATGGAATGCTGCTGTAAAGAACACCTAAAAATGTGGAAATGGCTATGGAATTGGGCAATAGGCAGAGGCTGGAAGAATTTGGAGCATGATAGGAAAAGCCTAGACTTCCTGGAACAGACTTTTGGCAGCCACAGGAAATGTATGTGCTACATTTGGCATTCCCTCCTAAAACAGACCTAAGCATTGCCAACGGCTTGTGCTCAGTTTCATCATGGAAGGAGCAAGCTATCCCATGCTGGGCTGGAAATAAAAATGGATTTAAGAATTCCTCAAAATGAATGGATACAGCTCAAAAAGAAAACGTGAACAGGTTATTTAGGAATTTGAGCACATGGATCCCCCCTCCCTCTGCCTTGCCTCCTCCCAGGCTCTCTGTCTCAAGTCTGCCTGGCATCGGGGGCCCGCTGCTCAGTAGGCTATTATGGCAAGGTGCTTTCATTTGCGTTCCATTCCCTTTTTTACCTCTTGGCATCCACTGCAATTTCATATTTTATTCCCAATTGGTGATCAAGGCTGAGGACTGGAGGGGTGAAGGAGAGGCAGGGAGGACCTGGAACAAGAGTCTGTGAGTTCCATACATAGCTACCAATGAACTGTCTGCTGCTGATATATCAGGGCACTTCAAGCTTTGAAGGAATTCCTTAGCCTGATTCAGGGACCCTGGGTTGGCTCAAGAACATAGAAGCAGAATCCTCCCTCTACCCCTTTAGCTCCAGCTGGTAGAAATGGAAGTTTTCCAAGAGATGTGCTTCCAGATCCAGAAGAGAACTAGGTTCCCCTGGATTTCAGTTTGCAACACATTATCATCCCCATGTTATTGATGAAGACTTATAATACCTGACTTGCCTTAAGTGACAGAGTGGGTCATTGCTAGCTCTGGGGTTAGAACCCAAGTGTTTTTCTTGCCCCCAGAGTTCTCCCCAGTGCCTCATGCTGCAAAGGCACTGCCTGGTCTAGCCTGACACAGTGGCCATCTCCCCACCAGACTGGGAAGGTGAGCGCCATGCAGTTTATTCAATAGAACAAGATATCTGCTTTCCTGGGTGATGGGGTTCTCTGGTGTCCAGGTGAGCCAAATGCCTCACAGGTGGATCAAATGTCATGCACAGAAATACAGAACTTAAGTGGACATTTAGGAAGAGGAGGCCCATCTGTTTTAATGCATGATCCCGGGCTCTGGGAATGGGAGGGGGACAGTGATAAAGGGAGGCGATTTCTGGTTTCAGGGAAGATGCCCTCTCAAAGTACAGGTTGAAGAAAGAGCCATAGGTCCTGTGCCTGCATCCACAAAGTTCAACATCTCCCCTGTCTGGCTCATTCTTCTGCAACGCTGCCTCTTACCCTTCACATTCAGGCCCTCATCAGCTCTCGCCTGGACTATAGCCTGTCACTTGTCCCAACTTATCTATGTGTGCATGAAGCCGATATGTGACGTTTCCTGAAACTCACCTCTGAACCTCTGGACATGGCACGCCCCTCCTCATTCGACTGAAGACTTTCAGCATTTCCCTTGAAACTATAAAGCTGAGTACTAACTCCCCATCCTAAAATTGAAAACCCTTTACTCACCTTTCTTTTTAAACTCCCTATTTCCTGACATAGACGTGGATCCCAGCTCCCATCTGACTGGTTTTCTCCTTTTTTGATGTACATGTCATCATCATTTCTACCCCCCAGTATTTGCTCCCACACATCTTCCTGTTTTTTTCTTAATGACCCTGTAATTTTTCTAGAAAAGGCATACATTCCTCAAGGATAAGTTCAAGACATATCCTCTCTATGAAACCCTAACTAACCATCTTACCGATGGTGAGTGCTTCCTCCTGACTTCCCAGTGCCTGCGGTATTTGTGTTACTCCAGGTTGGAGGGTTGACTAGAGGGGTAGGGATTGGTGGTGGGTATCCAAGTTAGGGGGCAGTTGGAATAGATTGTGGAAAGGACTGTGGGCAGGGGTCAGAGGATATGAGAAAAGAAAGGGGGGTGGGATTGAACAGGTGACTAAGGTCATTGAGGATCTGGGAAGTTAATGTCAGGGACTGAAACACTGGGGCTGGAATGTCTGGGTTCTGCCTTGAAGATTCTTCTATAGACACTCAGATGAGACCATCCAGTGGAAAAGGCCACATCCCCATTTCTCCAAAATGTGAGCCCTGCTCTCCAAAACCACGCTCCTCCCTTATCACCAGGCTTATACGCTTAGCTTTGTAATTTCCTTCAAGAAAACACTCAGTCAGATTTTGTACAAAAATATATATTTTGTTCAATAGTCACATAATACTTATTTTCACAATAATATTTTAGCCAATACCTTGGGATCTAAAAACAAAAAGTCTTTGCATTCATGATCCTTGCAAAGACTCCACAAAACATCCCAGGGGTAGAATTGGGGTTCACAGAGAAAAAACAATTCGCCCAAATCTCTGTATCTAAAAAACACTGGTACTTATGGAAGATAAACTTAAAACATCAATAACTTAAATAAGATTAGCATTAATTAAGGCATCATATTCCATATTAATAAACAAAGTTCATACTCTTTGAAATTACAATAAAGTAGTAGTAGAGGGAGAGCTAGTGGAAAATAAATAAGTTTCATTTTCTTGGGTTGTGGAGTGAGTGTAAGGCTTTAGAGTTTTGGTTATTCTGTCCAGGTGGGCAATGGCAGTCTGGACCCACTTCTCCTTGGGATCAGCACAGATCTCCTTGGACAGTTTGGTCATGAAGCTGTGGGGAGAGAGAGGACACAGTTAGATGAAGTGTCTTTGTAGTGTCAGCCTAGGAGTGTAGCCCATTCTGCACCAGGGGGCTGCCGTGGTAGTAAGAGGAGGAAGGAAGGTGGAGGAAGGAACCCAGAGCAAGCTGCTCCTAAGGCGTCCCAGGTGAAGCCATCCTGACTTCAGGCTAAAGCAATCAGGAGGGCCTGAATAAGCACCCAGATGGAGAATGATGTTGGGGTCCATTTTTTCCCCTCTGGGCCTCAGTTTTCCCATTAAGAACTTTTGGATATTGGGTTAAGTGGTATAGCTCTCTGACTGTAACTTTGTGGGGCTTGTCCCTTGCTACCTGAGGACAAACTCTGGACAGGGGAGGGCTGGTGTGCTCAACTCACATCACAGCTTCTTTGGGACACTTGCTGCTAGTGATTCTGATGTAGCTCTTGAGCCTCTGTGTCGCGATCTTCCTATTGGTGAGTGTATAACAGCAGGTGACTGGGGCGCTAATTGCATCTGGAAAATAAACCACAAAGAAAAAGCATTATAGAATGGGATGGATTTTTCTAATCTTAATAAGAGAAAAATCATGAGGAGAAGGCAAAAGTAAGGCAGGAGTAGAGGCAGAATCCATTAAATTCCTGTATTTCTTCCTATAACTCAGAACTAGAATGTGATCTTTGACCCACTGACTCGCTTTCCTACGCTATTAAATTGGTACACAACATTGATAATGAACAGAGGGAAGGGGAAGCTGTTAAAACAACGTAAGTCCTGGGATTGTCATTAGGAAGGGCTAATAATCCAAACTATCAGAGCAGGGGAACATCAGCTGGGGCCCCCTTTTAGGCTCCGAGCAATCTACTCCTGGTTGTGAGCGTCCCTGATACTGACAGCCTCTGCAGAGCCGCTGTCCCTGGAAGCTGGACTGAATGAAGCACAGACCAGATTCTGGGTCTCCTCCTTTCCCCTCCCCCATATCTGGAAATACTCCACACATCCACCACCAGTGGCCCCCCCTTTGATTACACTAACCCCCAAACACTGCTGAAAGCAAATGGGGCAGCAACTGCACTGAGGGTGTGTTTCCAGGGCTGGATCTGGGGTCCACAGCTGGAATTCTAGTTGAGGCTCTGCCCGGGGGGGAGCAGCTGTGTGATTGGGCTCATTCCTTATCCCTTCCCTGAGATGCCTTATCTTGGAAAAGCAGCTGTTAAAGTGAGAGCATGGGTACCCCTTCTGCTGGGACAGTCCATGAAAACCCAGAGACAGGGTGATGTGCTTCAAGGGGAAGGAGGCAGGGGCTCACCTGGCTGAGCAAGCACGTGGGTGCTGAAGGCGGCTGCTGTGAGCAGCAGGCACAGAAGCGCTGCGGAGACCTTCATGTCTGAGGGTGAGGAGGCGAGCTTCAGCGGGAGAGATGGCAGCTGCTGGGTTGGTCTCAGCCTCTCTGCTCTTCTGGCTGCTCTGTGTCTGCCTTTTATTGAAACCGAGAGAGGTGGAGCCAGGCGGGAGGGCTTGGCCTGGGGCAGCATTCTCCTCAATGAATGACGAAGTGGAATCCTAAATCAGCTGAGCAAGCGCAGAGCCCTGGGAGTTTTCTAGGAAGTAGGAAAGGGAAGCAATGGGTCAGGACTTGGCACTTTTTCCACTTGCTGCTGAGGCCACAGCAGGGAGAGGATGGGGTGCTGTTATTCCGAGAGTGATCACAGATGTGAGTCAAGTGTGTTATTCTTAAGAATTCTGCTTTCTGTGAAGTGAAAATGCTGCAGAAAAGGAAGGAAGTGAGGAAGCTGAGGTCACGAGAGAGATGAAAGCATGTCCAGGCATATCCCTGGCTCACCTTCAAGTGACAGTCTAAAGACTGTGTCTTTAAGCCACAAAGGGAGCCTGAAGTATTGGTGGCCTCCCCAACAGTGTATTAAATTCATTTGCTCTTCAAAATGCAGGGTGGTGGCAGAATGGAAGCCTAGTAGATGTGTAGGATTTTGTCAACCTTGAACTGAATTCCAAGAGTCATGGGATTTCAGACTTGGAAGAAGCTATACATATAGATAATGAAGTGCTAGAGAGGAAATTTCCATGTAATACTCACACAGTGCTTACTCTGTGCCAGAAATATTCTAAACCCTAAACCTTTACAAATGTTTGATCTTTAAATCCCACAGTCCTATCTAGTAGTGATTGTTTATTCCCATTTCATAGATTAGGCAACTGAAGCACAGAGAGGTTACATAACCTGTCCACGGTCTTCTCAAGTGGAGCCCAGGCAGCCCAGCCCCAGTGTTTGTGCTATCACGACTGTGACATACTTCTGGAAGGAAACAGGCACAAGTCCTCCAACTGGCTGCCTGGTCATGTACCTGCATCTTCTCTATCCTCAGCATCTTCCAAAGTAGCAACACCTAAAGGGGAGACGAGATATATTCCTCTTGATTAAGGCACTAGAGTTGGGAGCCTGTGGTTAGCACAGCAGGCAGCAGGGGGCAAGTAGTGCATTCCTCCTTAGGGTGGCTGTTCTTCCAGCCCCTTTCTGGATCCCAGGGAGCATGAGCAAGCAGAGGAGCTGTATTTTGCAAATCAGAATGCCTGGCTTCATTCTGAAGTCTGCCTTAGATTTTTTCAGAAACCAGAGAATCATAGTGATCAAGCTAAAAACACTTAGAATTCATTTTGGTGGACTCTTTTCTTTTGCAGCAATACTAGGATTCTCTGAGACATGGTAGTGGCTGAGCTGAGCCTACAGTTCAGGTCTCCTGACTCCCCTGAGCCACTGCTCTTCCTTCTGGGCCTGCCTGTGCCTTGCCCAATGGTCAAGGAAAGACCTGGTGACTCTTCTTTCTTAAATTGTTTGGACAAGGTCTATAAAATGCATGGAGACTCTTGAAAAAAAATCACTTGCCAATTGCTACACTTGTAATAAGAAATGGGTTGCGGTAAACAAATGACTATGTGCTGTCCATAGTAAGTGGTCAGCACTAGCACTCTTGAATGGCACTTGAGCTGGGCATTGTGCTGACATGCTTTCCAGCACTGTCTCACTAGTGCTCCTCACAACCCAACTTTCCTTAGGTTGACACTTGAGTTAAGAAATTTGTCCAGGATCTCATAGGTCCTAGCAAGAGGGGCTGAGATTCCCACCCAGAACACCTTCATTCCAGAATTCTTGCTTCTGGGAACTGGACTTGATGTCTCATGATGGGTATTAGTTTCCTAGAGAATCTGAGAGCAGAGACTCTATGGCGAGGCCATTCCAGACTCTTGGGTAGAACTACTGAAAGACAGGTTGAGGAGACAACAAATCGATGTGTGCATGGCTTTGCTTGCATCTCTCTCTGAGCCTCATTTTTCTCCTGCCTGAGTCTTGCTAGTTACCCTTTTTCTCCCTGACTGGTGTCAACACCTCTCTGTGTTTGGCTCATTCCTTTGCTCATGGCCCACTCCATTCTTTTCCGATAAATCAGATATGACCAGGACTGGAGACTGTGTAACTTCATGGAGTCATTTTTTCCCAGACCATCTCATCTTATCTTCCAAGAAGTTTCTCCTCATATTATGGGAACCCCTTTCTCATCTATTAATGGGTCCTTTTCCATGGACTTGGGAGCTATATCCCATTTCCCTGTGGAACTCAGTCATTCCTTGGATTTTCTCTACATTAGCAAGTTGAAGGATGCTGTGATACTTTAAACTACTCTTTTGTAGTTCAGTCATGTCACTCATTCCCAGAACCCCAGACCCAAAGGACCTATAGAGATCATGTAATACCCCCTCTTCTTTACGTGAGGAAGCTGTACTCAGGAGGGAAGACCCACTGGGCCATGGCCACGGAGGAAAGCCTCCAAGCTTTGCTGGGTGTTGGACAGGCTTCTGGGTGGTGGAGCTATATCTCTTCCTCAGGGAGGCATTGTCATCTTTGGAAAGTGACTTGGACACTGCAAGCATCAGACTAATAAACACATGGAGGTGAAAGGGTGTGAATCAGAAAAGAAAGTCTTTTGAAAGGGACAGTCCGTCTCCCTCCCAGTTCTGCCGTGTTAAGAAGAGATGCTTTCTCCAGCTGGAAGGTCAGTCACAGGATGAGAGAAAAAGATGGAAATCCCCACTCTGAAGCAGCTTTGGAAGTTCCCGGATCCTGCAGAAAAGAATGTATTTATTTGGCTGGAGCCTGCATTCCAGATGTTGGGCCTGCAGCCAAGGAGCTCTCATGTGGAGCTGTGCTGGGAACATCTCAGCACAAGCCTGGGCTCCTGCTTGAGAGTGTGCCAGGGAAAGGCCCGGGGAAGGGGTGTAGAGGGAAATGAAGGTCAGTGTTTTGCTGCTCCCCAGAACCTCCAGCTCCCCTGGGCCCCTTCCCCATCTACTCATGGATGAGGAATGGAAAAGTTCCTCTTGGTGAGTAATCCTTCCTTCCTTCCTCCCAGTGGGCTGACCTCACCACCAGGACCTTTCATACCTTGGTCATCACTGCAGACTCCCACTCTGTTGGGAGTGAAGGAAAGAAGAAGCAAAAGTGAGCTTTCTAGAAAGATCAGAAGCCAGTACCCAGGCCCTTGCCTGTGCTTGCCAATGCTCCCTCAGCTTAGGCTTTCAAGTGAGATGTGCAGAAGGCTCTGCACCCACCAGGTCCTCTCCAGATACCTCCCTGGGGCCTCCCCTCCAACTTTTCCCTCCTATACTTTTTCAGGTTAGCTCTTAGCTCTAGGTAGACCAGAGCCCATTTTTCCCAGGGTCTCTATGCTACAAACCATTTCCTTTCAAGTACCCAAATCCTTCTTTATTGTTTCAAAGAATGTCAGATATGAATGGACCTTAGAGATCATCTACCTGTTTCTCTGATGAGAAAGCTGAGGCCAAGAACAAGGCAGTGACAGGCCCAAGGTGGCACAGAAGACAATGACAGCATTTGTGCTGGTTTGCCTACTTCTGGGCTCTCAGTGCTGTGCCTTTCTCGTGTATGTTGCTATTTCTTTACTGTAACATTCATACAATTAGTGTCTACCCTGTGCAGAGCACCAGGCAGGGGACTGTAGGGGAGGGAGGAGTGAGCCAGACATGAAGCTTACTTTCTAGAAGAGATGCTAAAACAAGTATGTATAGGAAGTAGGACTGAGCGCAGGAATAAACCTGAGCAGCACTCACCCCGTGCTTCCAGCTTCTAGGCATCTCCTGCATTCTGGGGTGGGTCAGCCCAGATGTGTGTGTTTGCACAAAGGAGCCAAGGATATTCCTGGGGAGGAGTGGCGGGGTGGGCATAGCACATGGAAGAGAAAGGGGAGATTCACCTAAAATGACCTGGGTTGGTTGAAGGAGAGAGCGGTATCTGAGCCAAGCAGGGAGTTTGTCACTTAGGCTGTCTTCTGGGCCAGCCCTCACGGATTAGCACCTGAGTCCTAGGGTGAGGGGGCTGCTATGGGTGGGTGGGGGTAACAGCTAAGTAATATCAATGCAAGCCACTCTACAGCACCCTTGGATCACACAGTGGGAGAGAAGATGCTTTCCTCATTCAGGGCTTGCATTACACAAGGTGGCCTGAGCAGTGTGATGAGGGGTTCGAGGGACAGGTGAGCACATTTGAAGTAGCCCGTGAAGGAGCTGGACTTGGGGTGGGGGGTTCTCAGGAAACAGAGGTGGTGAAGGTCAGGTGGAGTGGAGACAGAGAATCATTTTTTAACAACAGCCTGTCGTTGAACACTTTAACATCCATGCTGGAGTCTCCTGAGGGAAACTCAAGTGACACACAGAATATTGCATTAACCAGAGAGATACAGATATGTGAGAATCCCAGCTAAGGGACCCAGGGAGCGTTCATGAGGGTGCATTCAAAATGGGTTCAAGGGTTGGGAAGATTTGGGGCCCTGGGTGATTACTGTGTGGAGGAGGGGGCACATTTTAGAGCAAACTTACAGAGACCACACATCTCAGGGTAAACATCCCCTTGGGATCTTGTTGAAGTGCAGATTCTGATTCTGTAGGTCTGGGTGGGCCAGAGATCCCGCATTTCAAACCAGCTCCCAGGTGATGCTGGTGACACTGGTGCATGGCTCTGTCAGAACAACTATAAAAGGGCTTAGAGCAGAAAAGTTTGTCCAATGTGGGAGACAATGATCAGCTCATGTCATGTAGACCAGGGTTCTGTCCGTGGCTCTCGCACAGGCTTCAAGAGCCCTCCAAAGCTGTCTTCCACATTGATGTGATTGTATACTTTTCTGGAGAGAGCTGTGAACCCATAGCTTCTATTAGATTATCAAAGACTTCCATGACCTCCAGCGAGCCTATCAAAAATAGAGTTCTGGCTTCACCCCAGACTTGCTGAATCACAATTTGTTTTTTTCTATACAAAGCTGTATTTTTTCTAAGCTCCCCACTCCTCAGATGATTACCGGTCTGTGTTTGGGAACCTGGCACTCAAGCAGAGGGTATATGAAGTAGGGGCTGTGCTGGCCAGGCTGGGAGGCACTGGTAGGAATAAAATGAAGGCAGGAAAAAAGGAAAGAAAGGAGAAGAGAGGGAAAGACTAAGAGAAGAGGGGAGAGAAATCTGGAATCATGCAATAGTTCCAGGTGATGTCAGGAGGTCAATTGGTTGATCTCCAATTCCTGTGAGTGTGAGAAGATCAGACAATAGGATTTGGAATAAGCACTGGGTCAGAAGCTGGCTGGGCCTCCATCTAGCCATGTGGCCTTGAGCAAGTCCCTTGACCTCTCTGGGCCTCTTCTGTAATAGGTGATTAGTAAAACAGCTGTTTCTAGCATGGTCATGAGACTTGTATGAAGTAATAAGCCAAGAGTGCTTTGCAAGCAACTTGTCAAGAACTGTGTCAGTCTAAGGGCTATAAGCTACAGTCTCGGGAAATCTCAGGGAACGCAACCTGTCCCAGCGGCAGATGTGTGTACCGATCCCCAGCACAAACATCCACTCATTTCTCGCTATGGAAATATATTGGCCATTTTTATTACATGATGCACAGTGAGGCTTCCATTCCCTAAGCTCTTTTTCATCCCTGTTTTCCTGTCTGCCTGTGGACAAAAGGAGCTGATGAAAACCTGAGGGTCAGAGAGGGCAGCCCCAGAATCAAGTCAGGGCCTCAGCTCCCCACACGGGAACCAGCTCTTACCCAAAGTTCACACCCTGACAGGCCCTTGTCTGTCTCCTCACCCCATGTCACTCTCAGCTTCTAGAACTCTCTGTAGTTCATCTCACCTCAAGGTCTCTGCCCATGCTGGGTCCCAGCACCTGAAGCAGTATCTTTCATGTAGTAGGTTCTCCGTAAACATTGCTTGAATCAATTACTAACAGTCCAAGAATCTCAAAGCATTTTCCCCAGATATCTGAATGATTTAATGCCAGGGAAATTAATAAAGAAGCAAGCATTCAGTTTCCTGAGTTCCCCACTTCAGTTTGGGGAAGAGACAGTGGCAGGGGTAAGTGGAGCGTTGTGGGGGGAAACCACTAGCAGATAGAATGATTTTCAGGGGCCACAGGGATCCTTCTTGGGGGATGATCTGTTGTTCTCTTTTGATTGCAAAATGTTGCATGCAGAAAAAGGGAAACTTCAGCTGCCCAAAAAAGCATCTTTGTTATTAATGGTTTCAGCTGGCTAACCGGTAGAATCCTGCATTGCAAAGCACTGGCTTCATTCAAAAGCTTCTCTTGCTTTTCCTGTAAATTAGAATCTGCAGAGAGAATCTGAAAGGAAATGCATACAGCATCTGTCTGGACGGGGAGAAGGTCTGGGGAAATGGTTTTCCAAAGCATACACATCTCTTCTGACTCAAATGTAAGGACTTAAAGATGAAGCACTACCACACAGTTCAATTCTGCAACCTATTTATTGCCTCCAAATAGAGCCAGGGTCATGACAGAGACTTTAGGAGCACACTGTTGCCCTCAGGGCTGTTTGTAATGGGTGGGAAGAGCAGGCATATCAGAGTTAGGTGTTGGGCAGGGACCTTTGTCTGCCTGGTTAACTTCTGCACCCTCTGCATTAGCACCAATAAATAGGTGGTGAATAAATGAATTAGGGAAAAATCAGAGCTTTGAAAATCATTGCACTGCTTAATTTAAAAAGGGGAAATAATGTTGCCCAGTGTCATAGAGTTAGTGTCAGTGCCAGTGCTGGGGTACTACTGGAGGTAGGGAAGGAAATGGATACAGTTGCTTAAGGACCAAGGGACTTCCTAAGAAGAGAGAAGTTGAAGATCTTTCTTCCAAGTCCAAAATTCTTAGACACTGAGTGTCTGAAGAGGTTCCAA